GTCTAAACGCAAAACCTCCTCGAGTGAACTAATTTCGATTGACTTATTCGGGAGTCACGATAGAGTACACAAAGCTGATCCAATCTCTTCGTACAGAGAGCAAAAATGAAATTTGTAGAGACTGAGTTATATAAAAATTCTACCGACAACAAAAAAATGTTTGAAAAGTCTAGCAAAAAGTATGACAACTTCTAGAATCTACGACAGAAAACTACGGACTACGGAGGCAGTGATAAAATATCAGTCTATACCAAAGCAGTTAGTAAGATACTAAACAACACTCCGTATGGAAAATTAAGAATATTCAATCTCTGGGTAAGCTTCTTGCGATATCGAACAAACTACAGGCGAACCTAATTCATACCTGACGCAAAGCTAAGTGCTCCAAATCAATTAAGACTCAGATCATTCAGGTGTGTGTTGAAGCAAAGGATTGAGGTTTGTAGACTAAGATCTAGATATCTTAACAGATGGTTCCTAAATAAATGAGTGAAAGGTCCTTTCTTAAAATAAAAGTCTGACGAAGTGAAAAATATTACCTTTAATAGATACCAAGATCAAACGGCATCAAAAGGAATGAAATAATCGCTGAACTGACTAAAACGAACGGCTCAGTCATGATTTCAAGAGATTATACTCCTGACTGCGAGCAGGACTTTAAAGAGGCTTTCTCTGTTTACCTAGAATGCCTTCAAATTAAGTTTGCGAAAGAAAAAGAAAACGTATTGTGTGAGTACCTAAAACCTCAATAAACAAAGAGCCAAAATTCCAACTTTAATTTACGAAATGCCCTAAAGAGACAAGCAGTTCAACCTTACCTCACTCAACCCTTAAATGAGCAACTTTTTTGAAATTATACTGAATGGGGATTCGTCAACTTGATATAGAGATAACTTTTTAATTGTTATAGCGTCTAATAAATATAAGTGGCTGCAATACCCAAGTGTTTGGCATTGTGTACTACCATTCGGAAGGANTATTTGGAAGCTTATAATAGTTTCAAAGTCTGATGAAGAACTAGTCCTCTGTAGTCTCAAATTATCTTCAAGTGGCATTAGTCTATTTTTAGATTCGAAAGAGAACTAAGAACTAAAGCAAGTTAAGGTTAGAACTTCAGGGAATTTGAACTAGTACACAAACAATACCAAAAAAAGAAAACGTATTGTGTGAGTACCTAAAACCTCAATAAACAAAGAGCCAAAACTCCAACTTTAATTTACGAAATGCCCTAAAGAGACAAGCAGTTCAACCTTATCTTACTCAACCTTTAAATGAGCCACTTTTTTGGAATTATACTGAATGGGGATTCGTCAACTTGATATAGAGATAACTTTTTAATTGTTATAGCGTCTAATAAATAAAAGTGGCTGCAATACCCAAGTGTTTGGCATTGTGTACTACCATTGGGAAGGATAGAGTTTGAATACTGGTTTGAGCAACAACCAAAGTAATGGAAAGTATAATTTCCTAATTCAGGTCGATCAACGGCAGGGAATGTTAAGAAATAAAAGCTGCTCATAAAAATTCATCAACCGTTCGTTGTCGGCTTAAAATAAACTATAGGTCCCATAATTTGCGGCAGTTGACCAGATAGAACACATTTTCTTTCTTCAGACGGTCCTATTGGCACACTACCCTTTGACCACTACCGTTTTCATTTCACGTCACTGTAAGTAGTCTACTTTTCATCACCAGTACCCATCCGCCTCAGAAATGGCGCCAATTTGTTACGATCGATTCAGCAGCTATTCGAAGATGGAAATTGGATCCATGAGGCTTTTCTCGTTAACTCCAGTGGCACTCTTAAATCGGCCTTCTTTGTGCATTCAGCTCTTTCTCAGTTGGTGGATCGGGGAGCCCGATTAATGAAAATTTTAGAAAAAAAAAAAAAAACAAATCTAAAAATTCGGAATTGCATTGTCATGTCACAAAGTCACAAAGTAAGGGAAGATTTACCCCTCAGCAGAGAGCATTTCTTTATATTTGCAGTCGCGATAGAAAACAAAGAAGATTTTCTAGCACTCTGCTTGTTAAAAATTCATAAATGGCTTGCCACCTAAAATAAAACGTTTATTAAAAATATTACTCACTACAGTTTTTAATACATAAATAACATAGAATAAAAAGTAATTAAGGAATTGAAAAAAAAAATAATAATAAATACTCACATCATTAATCTAATAAACTTTCTTTGTTAATCAGCTGATTCACTTGAGTGCATAATTTTTTTAGCGTCATTGGCCTTTAGAAATGTAATAAATACACTCATATACATGCCATAATACATTAATATACACAATGACAGGACAAATAAAGTAGTGCGCCTCGCCCTCTACGTACACCATAAGCAGCTGGTATGCATTATCGTAAATTTCTATGCAAATGTGCGCTTGTAACGCTCCAAATAAGGCGGTGCTTCCACTTACAAGTCGCTTATCAAATGTTCAATATGCTTGTATGGATTAAAAAATGAATAAAAATATCTATAAATACATGCATACATGCATACATACATATATGTGTAGCCCTGCAGCTATTACATACATATCCATACACACGAACTCATAAATACACGTAGATATTGCAAATGTATGCGCGTGTGTGTTTTAGTCGCTGTTTATAGCAGTCGTGGTGGTAGTAGTAGTAGTTAACAAGTTCACTCAGTCTTTGTGGCTTCAAGTTCATTCGCTTGTAAATAATTTTTACCTTGAAGCCAAATCAATATTTTCCATCTAGTATGTATTTTTGGAAAGTTTGCAAACTACACGCATACACACATACATATAAATATACGAGTATATACGGGTAAATGCAAATATATGTATGGGCGCGTAAGAAATGGATTCTGGGGGAAATGCATGCAAAAATATCCCGTTATTTTCAGTTATATATATATATGTAGGTAAGTTTGTATGCGTTATCGATACGTCTACAGCTACACCCACTGGCTGTCAAGCGGTGATATAATCGAAAAGTGCAAGAGGAAGTATAGTTATAGAGTGTGCAGTGAAACATGTAAAAACAAAACATAAACAAACGGATATTTTAGGATATTTATACCCACATATGTATGTATATGGTTGTAAGCTACAACAGCGGTTGTGGCGGGATTCGCAAGTGGGTTGAGTGCTCCTAAAGATGTTAATTTATCATCACTTTTGAAAGGGAAAACTAAAAGTTTTTTCTGTAAGAGAGGAGCTTGTAAAATGTAAGTGAGAAAACATGAAATTCACAAAATAGGTAGCAACCAATTTTAACTGGAACCCGCACAGTTTGGGGAGATATGAGAAAAAACTTGAAAGTGAAAAGAATTATGGTCTTCTAATTGTTCAGAAGTGGTATCAAATTGCTCAAAATTATCTTTCAGTAGAATTATTATATTTTAAGGCATGAAAGGAGAAAGAACGAAAGGATTTTGAAACTAAATTTTCCGAATTTAGTCAAAAACTGGGTCTCAACAGCTCTCGAAACGTCGATATCAAAACGGCAAAATGTGGAATTCAAGCAGAAGTAGTCTACTTGGAGGCTTGTAAGAGGAATGAACTTTAGCATGTTGATGTTAGAATTTCAGAGGAAAGAGAAGAACTGGACCTCAAAACATTCGAAAGTGGTTTTAAATTCGTTTACACTATTTGGAAGCTTATAATAGTTTCAAAGTCTGATGAAGAACTAGTCCTCTGTAGTCTCAAATTATCTTCAAGTGGCATTAGTCTATTTTTAGATTCGAAAGAGAACTAAGAACTAAAGCAAGTTAAGGTTAGAACTTCAGCGAATTTGAACTAGTACACAAACAATACCAAAAAAGATTGGTAAATGAACTCAAATTACTCAGAAGTTATTCTTGTCGGTCATATATTTGTTGAAAAGAGTTTTGAACTAGTTGCGGAAGAACATTTAATTTGTTTCCAAACTAATCCTGAAAGTGGTTACCAAAGCAATCATAAATCATAACGAAATTCGACTATAAATAATCAAATTATTGAAACAGTCTCCAAAGTAGGTTTAAGCAATATTCAAATTGTAAGAAATAGTCTGGAAATATTTATATATCTTTTACAAGTTATTCTAAGGTAATGAACCATATCGGAATTTATAACCATTCATTCTGGAACAAAGTCCAACCAAGAACCAGCTAAAATGTGAAATCTTGTTGATCTCAAGTTGTGTCTTTTTCAACTTTTCCGCGAACCTATGTTGATATGGCAGCGCTATCACCCATGTTCCCTACATGGTCATGTAGAGGCTTTCTCTGCAGAACTAGTTTCGGAATGGCCCGGATGTAGTCTTAAGCTAGTATAGAAATATTGTTAGATAATTATTTTGGAACCAGTAGTTGAGTATTAATTCCAAACCAGTTTGAATATGTGTTCTTGTCACTTTTAAAATTAATGCCAAATAGTCCTGAAGTAGTTCGAAATGACATAGTAATAGTCCTGAACTACTTTCTGTCAAATATTATGTATTAAATCACATTATACGATGCATCGACAGAAAATTTTGCATATCATTTCAAAAACATTCATCTTACAACAGTGTTAATATCATTTTTTTAACCTGTCCGCATTGTAAATAAATAAATTCATTGATTCTTTATTAGCGTTCAGAGTTAATCAATAAAAGTGTATGCAATGATGTTTTTTTTTTTTGCCCTTTATATAACTACTGCTAACTGGAATATATATAAAACGAAAAATAAAACGTCTTGTCTTGAAGTTTAAAGCAAGTAACTGTGTCTGCATATTTGCAGCGATAAGCTCATTTGGTGTACACCCTATAGGAAATTAAACGACGCTGAAATATTATTTTTAAACGCTTTTTAAGAATATACTTTTAGGCTTTTGGGCAAGAAGATTATTCATTCTTAGAAATTGCCAGAAGAGCAATATTGTGTTGTAAGTCTTAAGAAAGCGTCTCTTCGAGATATGTTTAATGAGCTGTTGAATTCCCTGAAAGACATTTGTTCAAACCGTTTTTTTTTTTTTTTTGCCACATGTATTTCCTACTGGGTTGTCTCCTTTACTTTTATGCGCTCAGTTGTGGCTGTATTTACATATTTTATCGAGGAGTGCTTATGAGAAGCTCACTCTTAATACATGTGCATATAAATCTGATTTTTACCTGCTGTAGCTGGCGCATAAATTCAGAAGATACTAGAAACTGTAAGCAGATTTGCAAAGTTTTCAAGTTTTGCTATTTTTTTATTTAAAACATATTATTCGTGATATCTGTAGTTGAATTTAGAGATTTAAATATCAACAAATGCTACTCACTCCAAAAATGCATAATAATTGTGTAAGAGCAAAAAAAGTTAAAATTTTTGTCTCTATATATATGTTTCTGAAAATATTCTCCATGCAGAATTACTTATTTAAGGGAACAGCATGAACTCAACAGCTAGCAGCTGTCAACTCTCTTTTTTTTTCTCCCTCTCCTTCGCTCTACATGCTGTCTTAATGAAACTTCTTTTTCAATGCACTCAGTTCATATAAAAACCGATCACGTTGCTCTCGTCGTTTCGTTAACTGCTCTCTCGACACCATTTCCTCACATTCGGCTGCAATCTTCGATAACGTCTCACCTGCCACCATTTTTGGTGTGGGTCCATAAGTTTGACTTACAGCATAAACTTCACCTCCAAAACGTTGAAAATAGTCTGAAACACCGTCAGCATTCAAATGCGCTGTTTCAAGAGGACCCAATAGAGCATAGCGTAGACCCAAACCCTCGGTCATAACACGATCAACATCGGCGACACTCACCACGCCATCAGCTACTAAACGCCACACTTCATTGAGTATGGCATATTGTATGCGATTTGTGATGAAACCTTCTATTTCACGTGTGAGTGTAACCGGTTTCTGACCAATTTCAAGCATGAGATCACGCGTGCGTGTCACAAACTCCGGTATCGTCCAAGGTGAGGGCACTATTTCGACGAGTGGTATATAGTAGGGTGGATTGAGGGGATGCGCAACGAGTACCTGGGTTGAGAAATAATACTTTTTATAATATATATACAACATGTTTTATTCAACAATTCACGCACGTTCTCCCGATGGCTTGTCATTTGTTCACTGAAAAGCGAAGGCATGTAGGTGCTTGTCGAACTGCCGATAATCGTTTCAGCGCCCACAATTGCAGCCAGGTCTGTATAAAGCTTACGCTTCCATTCAATACGTTCTGGTATACATTCCTGCAGGTAGATGGCATTGCTCACCAATTCGCTTAATTCCACAGTGCCACTAATAAAACTCAATTGCTGTGCAACACTGTATGTGCCACGTAATGCTGATTTCGCTTCTAAAGCATGCAATTCCTTTTTAATCTCCTCCAAAGCGGTACTAACTTGTTCGGGTAAGATATCATAGAGCACCACTCGATAGCCAGCTGAAGCGAAGAGCATAGCCCAGGCACGTCCGATGAGGCCACTGAAGTGAGAGTTTTATAATAAATTATTATTTGATCTTTTCCACACTTCTTGGACACCTTATCAACTCCAGCTTTTCCTTCATTTATTCATTCACTTACCTGCCTATAATGCCTATTTTTTCCGGCCTCATTGTCTTTATGCAATTAAAACAAAAAAATGAGAAAAACTTTTAAAAAGTATCGTCTGTTCAGCTCACTGCCACTTTATAAAATAAATATTTTCGAAAACTCGTCATGAAGCAAGTTGCAGGAATATATACAGAAGAGGATGTCTGTATATACAAATATGATGTTCTTATCTACAGTTGTTTTTACTCAGCCGCTGCCAGCGACTAAACTGTTTTATCCCATTATTAATATTATTTTTTTTTTTTTGCAGATAATCAAATTTATATAAATTATTTTTCAAAAAAATTCACGGCGTACAGATTCAAAAATCAGTGGTAGCTACCAGATTTTATTTTCATAGGAGTACAAGTTTTGCAAAAAATTATAATTTTTAAATTGGTTAAAATACGGCAGCACTGTGCAAGAAGTTACAGTAAATACCGGCATGTGATATTGCAGAAAGAGAGCGGCTTGTGCGCTTATTGGTCAGCTAATTACATCTCTGAGTAAGAAGAGCGCGCGTCAACAATCACAAAGAAGTTTCGACGTTGAAAAGTTGCAGAGAAAGCAGTTTTCTAATCGATTCTACTGCGCTCTGGGAGCACTCATCACTGACCCAATGGAATGTAGCTGTTGGACGGTTCAATTGGCTCTCGAGTCCGAGGTCGTGGAATGAGCTGTTACGATGTCGGTGCAGAGTCTGCAAAGGAAAAAGGAAAGAGTTTGAAATGCATGAATACGAAGAGTTTCTCAAGCTGAGCGACATAAAGTTATTCTACGAAAAAAGACTGCGACTTTCAGAATCTCACCTTAATTACATAGAAACGAAGAAGATAGTATGGTGACCGCTACCCAGAACATACTATCGTAAATTCATTAAGGAATTTTTTCCATCCTAATTAATGGGAATGGTGAAACACAAGTCACTATGTCCACACTCTGTTATGATGAAGTCCGTATAGGAATCGCCCATCTGAAAGACAATCGGCTGGGGCAAAGCCGATCTACAAGCTACCAGTTGAGCTATTGAAATATAGTAGAGAAAAACCTCTTAATATTTTTTGCAAAATATAGACTTTTCAATATCACATATATTTATATAAGTCATTATTGTGGGTTTTGAACTGGTGGAGGGGCAAGATATTTACTTGCAAAGACCCATGCGGCGTATAAACGATAACCGCAAAAGTAGTACCCTCAAGCCATACAAAAGCCCTGGACCAGACGAAATTGCTCCTCTTCCAACTATAGCAGTCTCTAAACAGCAGAAGTCTTCTTTCGCTCATTCTGTTGGAGGTTATGGCGAAGAAAGAATGAATGACAAATTCCTACAAACTCTAAGCGATATCATGCAAGGCGGACTAGTATGGACAAATAAGTAGGCTTATGACGCGAGCTCAGGTATTAACCAACAGACGATGGAACTTGTTTTCTATAACAGATGATATAAGACTTTCACACACAGAAAATCAGCAAAATAGAATGATTATATCATATATTTTCCGGAAATACAACCAATTCGTTCAGATGTGAGGTTTCGGTTCGAAACTCCATTAAAAAATTTTCTGAAAGTGTATAACTAAGTTCTACACTCGTCTATACAAACAAAAATTGTCACCGAAAATCATCGGAATCGGAAGACTATATCATATAATACCCCTCCAACCGTTTTTTTTTTTAAGATATAAAAATTAATATTTAATCTCAAAGTGGAATACAATAGAAAAAACTGGATTTTTTCTTATTTTTTTTTTTATATAAAAATATATACATATGTGTATACATATTTTTACGCGCTGAGACTTTTTCTCTCTTATCAATTGTTATTGCTTTACTTTTATTTATTTATAAGTTTTTTATTTCTAATTTATTATTCTATTTTGCGCGACATCCCTAATCTCTTTTGTTTTTTCTCTTTGCCGCTAATCGCTAATTATATAAATAAACATTTTCTGCATTAATAAATCTTACGTTGGCTGATGTGACAAACACACACATATGCATTAGCACATATTGTACATACATGCATACAAAACCATTAAATGGCATTTAAGCTGAGTTTAATCAGTTTTCTTATAATTTTATTAATTTCATTGCTCTAATTTGTAATTTATTATTATTTGCGCAGACATGTGTGCCTGATAACGTGCTTGCACGTTAACTACATATATGCATATATGTTTGTTTATAATAATTTTTGCTAATATTTATTGCATTGTAATTAAATTTTGTACGCCCATCACGTTCGCTTATGATTTCGGTTCATTCATTTCTTACGGTTCGTTAAGGTCAATTTTAATTGTTATTTACTATACGATACTATATATTGTACATATCTGTGACTACACGTATGTGTGCGTTTGTGTGCATGCAAAACATTAAAGAAAATGGAGTGAAATAATAAATAATACGATTTATTCTGATAATGTGCAGTTAAATATTAATTGTATTTCTAATTGTTTTTAACGACTTTGAAATAAAGATGAATCGATTTCAATTATGCGTTTAATTGTTTCTATTTTTTTCAAAATTGTAAATCTGTTAAATGCAATGATAATGAAGAAAATAACTGAAATTGTGTTAAAGTAGTAGTAGAAAAAGAGAATTGTAGAGTTGATGTGAAGTATATTGGAGAAATACAATTAAAATTTATAAAGCAATTGTTTTTGAATTATTTTGATAATTATCGTAAATACTATGTCTCAATATTTGCACATAATTTTATTTATCGCTAGATATTTTTACAATATCTTTTTCCTAATACAAGCGATTTAAATAATATTTTTGTTCATTTATTCCAAATATTTTATGTCTTTATTTATTTACATCATTATTATTTTTTTAATTTTCATTTCATTTTTTAATAATTTTTTTATTTTAAACTTAATAATTACTATAATTTCTTTTATTTATTTTTATTTATTTTTAAATCATTTTTTTATTTTATACTTTATAATTACTATAATTTTTTTTCTTTTATATTTTCTTTTTTAATTTTTCTTAAAGCAATATTTTAATTTTTACGCCTTTTTATTACTTTTTTATATAATTTTATTTATTATTTATTTTGTATTATTTTGACCTTTTTAATGTTGTTTCTTTATCGCAAAATTAAATTTATTTTTATTATTTTATTATTCTCACTTAATTTCTTTTAAACCTTTTTTATTTTATTTTTATTAATTTCTGTATATTTTTGGTTATTATTAAAATTTTTGTTGAATATTTTCTTTATTTATTATTAATGAGGGTTAGGTTGTAGTGGCTACCGATCCATCGATTATACTTAGGCCTGTCTAAAACCCATTGTGATACCACAAAAACTTGGCAATTAGGCTTCTTATCCAGCCATTCCGATTATCTAAAGAACTTTATAAAAAAAAATCCGCGACCTTCTCATCGGCTGTCTTCGGTAGACCAACTAGCAGCAGGATTCCACAATTCCGAAACCCATCAGTGCCCAAAGCAGGACAATCACATAAGAAATGAGTGAGCTTCTTCAATATTTTCTATAGGGACTCTCTCCACATTTCGCCAGGAGCCTTTTAAGACTCATATTACTTCGTACATGTACCCTCATGAGCTCTTCTTACCCCATTTTTGCCAGGTGTGTCTGGACTTGCGGCAGGTTTTAGTTTCATTCCACCTTTGACGCGGCTTGTTCGTATGTAAATTCATTAAAAATCAAGTGACAAAAGGTACAGCAATGTGTTCTTTCTCGAGAAAAATCTGCTTGGTCATACCTTGCATATCAAATTCATCCGCTCTACAGTTTCCCTGGGTGTCCTTGTGACCAAGAAACCACATAAGAGAAAGTATGTTCTTGTTTATCTTGCTGAAAATGAAGATATCCTCATATTGCTGTGTCTTCACAGTTTTGTTTTTTGGTCTAAAAGACTACTAGAAATTTGGCCTTCGTGCCCAAGCTAAGTTGAAAACCATCTCCTTCTAAATAAAACTAGTTCTACTTTGTATGAGTTGACATAGAGACCCATCGAGTAGCCCGGCACGATACCTTTATGTGTGTTCCGTGGATCAATTCAAATGCAATGGCTTTGGCTGCAACTACCCAACTCACGTACCTGCCGTCCATAGTAACCTATCTTATGAGGGCGCCATTTAAACACAAAGTTGTCACCGCTTGCCCATGCCGTTAGTTCCGTTAGGTTGCCTGTATAATCTTTCTTAGAAGAAAATGCGTAGTTTTTTTCATAAGAAATGAAGACTAAATGCCTAACTAATTATTTGTTATCATATAGATCATGGATATTTGTCTTGCGTTTATATTCAAGCATATAAATTATGAAATTCGTTGACGAACATTATGAATTTGTTCAAAAGTGTGCAAATACACTGGCAGATGACAACATTTCGCCGCTCTCAGCAGCGTCGATAACTCGTGTATTTATCTCGCCTCGACGTCGCCAGTTGTGGACGGCTGGTAAGTGAAATGGGTACTTGCAGCCTTTGTTCGGTTTTCGTTAAGAGCCAGTTTACTATGAGGTTCCAGAGCAAAGACGAGAGAGAGCTCGTGCCCCTCTCACATATCAGGGTACTTGATATCCCTCCAGGTGCATTGTTATGTCCCTGTTGCAGTTTGAGTTTATTAATAAAATCCACTAGTGAAGTATGAGCTATGCAGTTATAACTACACTTAGTAAGATGTTGTTGGAGCTCCTCATTATCTAGAAAGAGAGCAAGATAGAATTCCGTGCGATAGAAAGGGGTTTTCAATAAAGATCTATTTGCTCTTCTGACAATCATGCTAATCACTCGTGACTAGCCTCTTATCAATGGTGCGAGAAAAATGGTTTACTCTTATCATCTCTATTGCTCTTATGCCAAGGGAAGAAAGTCTAATGGGCCTGAAGTTCAACCGAAGTGTCTCTTAAATTTTAAACAAATTCTCTGATTTGTCACTTAGCCCAGCACATCGTGTTTTATTAAATTTTTTTGATTTTTATTAATTTTTTGTTAAAGAAAAGTAGCAACTTCTTTCATTGCTTCTTCACTTCATCATAAATTATGTAGACACGCGTCTGCGAGCATGGCCGCTGGCAGATCTGCCAGCTAACGACG